CAAGAGTTGGCGGTGGGTGGTGATGACTAGCTGCCTTTCCTCTAGTGTTACACTGCTAAATTAGGGACGGCTAGCGCAGATAGCCCTCGTGTAGCTTTGCGCAAAATCCATAACAAACAAACAATAACAATCACTCCTGAGTAATTTTTCGTATCTACGCCGGTAAAGAGGCATTGCCAGAATGGATAAAATGTGAACTCTAAATTCACATTTTAAATATGATTTTAGTTTCGTTTCTGCTCGATTAAAAAGAAAGACCAAAAAGAGTTAATAAAGCTTCTGACGCGAAATATTCTAAAATGCGTTGAATGATTCAGTGTTTGTTTTAAGGCAAAACCGCATTGAACTATCTGCTGTGTCCATCGCGATGAATCGAATCCCGGATTTTTTAACGTTGTAAGACCGTAGGTTTATCGCTGTCCCATCGGGGGATTGAAATATTCATTATTTAGTCGTCATTATCATAAATGCTTTGGTTATAAGCGTATGTTTTACGTCCGTTGTCTTTTTTTATTCCTTGTAAGAACCAGACCGAAGAAAACTATATCAAGAAATTACCACTGCCGGTCCAAGTAAGTTTTACTGTTGTAGAAAAACATAACCTAGAAAAAGATACTGTTAGATATAATTAAATATATAAGTAAATGGACCGATAGATATGTTATATCATAATTTCAACGTAATAGGAAATAATTCTAAACTATTGTGTTAAGTTAAAGTGAAGTAATGAAAATAGCTCTTAGAATAAAAGCTCTGAAAAAAGAAAGTATTGTAATAGCGGTTAAAGAACATAGATGGCGACTGTATAAGTAATTTAATATATATTCATGTATTGCGGTTGTCACCGTTTCTTCATATTACTGAAGAAAGCAATCAATAATTATATCATGACAACTTGTTTACATACGTTTCATGCATTTTCATTAGAAGATGTGCCATTTTGTTTTCTTAATATAGCATGTTGTATTCGTACGAAATTCGAAAAAAAGAGATATACTTTTTTTCCTTATTTGGTGGCAAAATTAACATGTTTGGAGAATGGAAAGTACCGTATATATATACTTAATATTTTCTACAGACATATATATATTTATTATAATGTCATCAAAGGTGCGAAAAGATTGATCAATATAAATTTGTAGTGAAGTTTAAGAGTGATCTTGTATTTTTCAAAGTCGAAGAGAATTCTAGTAAATTTATATATATATATACATAATATATCGTTCTAATCGTGGAGTATAATGCGTTCAAGCAAACACTAAGAATTTTTGTTTAATAATGTCTTGCATAACCTAAGGCTGAGGTCTGTAAAGCCCCTTAGCAACTTTAGTTGCTAAGTAACGACTACACGCGCTATTGAAACTACTTCTTCCTCGCAAGAGATCGATGAAGACTTTAGTTTTAAAATGGTCATGGTATCTGAAACTGTTTTTAGAATGAACTCGTGATAAGCTTTTTATGGAAGAAACAGTAGAACCTAATAGACACTGATCTTATTTCATCCAAGATTCTATGCCAGCAGTTTTGACTTTCAAATTTTCTTATGAAATCATGGTTTTTATAATAGCTTCGCCCAACATGATCTATCTCAAACGATCATCCGTCGCTAGTTATTAAATCGTATAGTGATCAGCTGCGAATAATTGGCATAGACACTGAAAAATATTAGCGCTGTTAATTCATAAGAAATATTTCCAACGTGTAGAATGAAAATCTTAACTTATTTTGGCGAAACTCGTTTTTAGTCATTCTTTAGAAAGTAGAATAGAAGATTTATATCGCTGATTCGTTGTTACTACAATGTGGTTCTACTTCCCCTCGATTGTCGCTTCTCTACAATCGGTGGATTTTATTTGTTTGTTAGATTTCGTACAAGAGACCTATCTGTGCAAGCCGTCCCTAATTTTTGATGTGATGGATCAGAGAGAAGGTGAACATCACTCAGTGTCAGCTCTTGGGTCACATTTGTCAGACGGAAAAGGGAGATTTTACCGCCACTCTTACAATGCAATTACGGTTCCAAAGTGAGGTAGCAATGTGACGCGAACCACGGAATCTCAACTCCAAAGTCCGGCACGCTAATCAGTGGGCGACCCTAGGCTATTCACCAGAGGAAATCATTGTTCTGGTGCAAATAAATACACAACCATCCTCAGTGTTCACAAGCATAAGCTTGTAATATGAATATCATTGGAAAATGGGTGACTTTTATGGTGTACAATGCTGAAGATGAAGAAGCTTCTTTCTAGCAGTATTTGAAATAGGATGAAGCGACACAAGTCTAATAATAGTTTTAAAATCTCCACTTTATATATGCATATATGCCCTAATACAGATTTACTGAAAGATAGTGGTATAATAGAATTTACATGTATGCTCTAATACAGATTTACTGACGGATAAGAGTATAATAGCATTTACATGTATGCTCTAATACAGACTTATTGGAAGATATAGGTATAATAGAATTTACATGTATGCTCTTATACAGACTTATTGAATGATATAGGTATAATAGAATTTACATGTATGCTCTAATACAGACTCATATTTACATATATGCTCTAATACAGATCTACTGAAGTATAAGGGTATAATAGCATGACAAATGCCTTTGTTACAAAGCTATACCCATTATCTTATTGCTATTCCAATTGGCTAACAAATTAAAAGTCTTAGATGAAACGATATATTTATAAAGTTATGTGATGTATGATCCCTGATCAATTTCAGTGTTACAAGTATTTAATCAATTTTGGTCATTCCAATAGGTAAGTAATAACACTTTTAGGGAAACAAGTGTAGCATCACTTTTGTTACTCTAATAGGTAGATAATGGGCTGTAAACACTTTTGTAGTAACAAGTGTTGTATCATTTTGTTCTTTAATAGGTAGATAATCGGCTGTAAACACTTTTTGATTAACAAGTGTTGCATCATTTTGTTCTTTAAGAGGTAGATAATCGGCTGTAAACACTTTTGGAGTAACAAGTGTTCTTTAAGAGGTTGCATCATTCTTGTTATTGTAATAGATAAGTTAAAGCTGAAAACACTTTTAGATACATCTTTGTCTTTAATATTTTGATATTTAAGTAAAATGTTTGGCTTGATGTATTACAACTTTTTTATGAGGGGGTTTAATAACGTAACATTAACAGATATTTTAATTCGATTTTGTCAAAGTAATCATTTGGGGATATGATTTTCTAAGCCTAATTCACATGTGATATCTAAATAATATACTTAAAGAGTTACTGCTTAATTGTTTTGATTAGTTATTTTTTGAGGAATTTGAATTTAGCATCGTAATATATTATGTGTTTAATACCATAGTTGATTGATCCCTTATTTCGTCATTAGTTTGTTTACTAAATGCAGTGTTATACTCGAGGGTGAAGTCCGTCCGCCCACTATTTTTTGGAAAAAAATTCAATTTTTCAAACTCTTATCCACAATTTGTCTAGATCTTGTACAGAAACTTTAAAAGGTTTAATTTTATAGTTTTATCTTAGTGTTGGTAACCCTATAAAATCTACTTGCTATTCTCTTCTTTATTAACAGGTAAAAAGCTAAATAATTTCTTTCGTATCTGCTAAATTGTAAAGATTATAATAAATGTTAAATTTGGGAAAGGGAAAGAAATGACCCACTGACGTAGGTACCCCTATTTGTTATCCCATCTGTTGATTTACAGTTGTGAATTGAACTATGTGTAGTAGCTCAAAACTGCAAGTTTTACAGTTTTACAATTAAAAATTAATGTACCTTTAGTCAGGTACACTAAGGTAAATTTTCCAGTCTCAGGTTAAGTTGCATGCTTTAGTGGCCATTCTATAAGTCTTAAATTTGATTGGTCACGCTTCTGCGTCATTATTACTTCTTTAGTGTAGGTCACATCTAAATGGAGAAGTAGATTAAGGTTTTTATAAGTTAGTATAATGTAAGAATTAAACCTCCCCGTTGAATATGGGAATGAACAATGCGTAGGTAACCTGAGATCGTGGGATACCGCACTAGGAATTTGGAAAGACTAAGCAATTTTGTGAAGACACAGATCTGCTGTCTTTTGCGAAGTAAAATTGCTTTACCCCTGATCCAGTAGGAAAAAACTTTAAACAACTTTGAAATCGACGAGCTAAAAATCTTCTAAATGAAAAACAGTTACACATGAGTGTATGTGTTAATATATATATAATAATTTTGTTTCTTTGGTTTACACTTACGTTTGAGTCTTTCATTTGTGTGTGTGTGTGTTTGAAGTTAAGCACAAAGCCACACAAAGAGCTATCTGTGCTCTGCCCACCGCGGGTATCGAAAACCGATTTCTAGCGTTGTAATTCCGCAGACATATCTCTGTGCCAGTGGGGGTGTCTTTCATTTGATGCCAATGTTCATTTATGCTTTGTAAACAAATCTTTACGGCCCTTGTACTTTAGCGATACTTTATACTTACCTGTTGAACTTAGTGAACTGAATATCATATATAATCAACAGAATCTGTAGTTTAGTTTTCTTTATAAATAAAACTATTTTAGCAATTTAAATTATTTATTTTTTGTTGTTATTAACTAGTAATCGAATTTTAAGTTTTAACTGCATTCACTTTTCCAGACTATAACTGTTATATAATGTACTTTGTTTTGTTTTTATCTGATGACAATTATGTTTAAGTGGAAATAATTAGTAGAATAACCATATCAAAATGTATTAACGGATTAACTATTAAGTATTTTATGCACAAAAAAATTTGTTTTAGCCAGTTTCCAACACCAGAGGCCATAAATAGGTGTCAACTTTTTTAGGCGATTACGTTTCCTTTTTTGAATAAAAACACGGTTACAAGCTTAAGAAAATTGAATTTACCCACATAATAATTTAATAATCCATAGTAAATCTGAGAAAGCCTCGTCTCTACTGCAAATGCGTTAACCTTTTGCTATTATTTTTGCTCCAGCGTCTGCAAAACAAGTGAAAGTTTGGTCTCTCTAAGAATGTTTTCTGTTTATTGTTACCATTACAACAAAACCAAAGAGACTTTAATCAAGTCGGCAACTTTTCACACTGGAGCATCCTTAAAAATAGGATCAAGAGGTTCAGAGCAACGGTGAAGAAATGGTTTGTTAGTGTGAAAGAAAAAGGTGTGTTCTGTGAAGATGACGTGATTCGTTAATTTGATAGCAGGTGTATTGGTCTTCTCTTTGATCTGAGGCGAAAGTAGAAGTACAAACAATGAAGGAAAATTATTGCTGTGTTAAAAAGTATTATTAAAAGGGTAACAAAAATTGAAATTCACTAGACATCTTAAAGGAATCGACCATTTGTGAAAAGTTTATTTAAAATCTATTTAAATATTTTTCCTTAATGAGGATTACCGTGGATGTGCAAAATTACTTAGTGGCAAGCAACTACAATTCATTAGATATTCTGCCTGATCCTGCCTGTTGGGAAAAATTACCTGGTGGCAAGCAACTACAGTTCATTAGATATTCTGCCTGATCCTGCCTGTTGGGAAAAATTACCTGGTGGCAAGCAACTACAGTTCATTAGATATTCTACCTGATCCTGCCTGTTGG